TCTCCCCCCCGCCCCCCGCATTCCCATAGACACAGGGGTTGTCATGTACCTGGGGAGATCTAGGGCTGGGTGTCCAGGGAGTCTCCTCTCTGAAGGTCTGGCAGTGAGGGTGCAGACAAGGGCTGGCCTGAGGGTCCCGGGAAGGATCTGTTCCTCTTCCTGGACAGCTCCGCTCCTGTTCCCACTCAGGCTCCTCGGATCCTCTGCTCTGAATCCGACTCCAGAGCCCTTGCTGCCGCCTCTGTGCCTCCGCTGCCGCTGCCGCCGCTGCTTCTGTGCCGCCGCCGCCGCTGCTGCTGCCGCCGCTGCCTAGGAAAGGAACAGGAGGGAAAAGGAACAAACCCCAAACCACTAATTAGAGATCCAGGGGGGGGATGGGGATTGGGGACAACACTCACACAGAGAGACTGGAACACACTGACACACACACACTCACGGGCAGGCACAGGGATGAGACACACGCGCGCGCGGGCACACACACACACACCACACGGTACAGCCAGGGTCATGAATGAACACAGACACTGGCACACAAATAAACACAGGGACACAGCTGGAGGCACCCCCCCACCCCCCACTAAGTTGGCACAGAGATGCTGACTCCCCCAGTCGCCCACCCCTCGATCAGATCAGGCGAGCGAGCAGTGTGTATGAGTGTGAGGGGGCTGGCGGCCCAAATTCCCGGGGTCCCTGAGATAGATACCAGAGCAAGGCCCGAGGGAACAGAAGGAAGAGTGGGGAGGGGGCTTGGCACAGCCTGGGGAGTCCCCTGGCCTCCTCCCAAAGCCATCAGTGTGTTCTACCTCCCATTGCAGGGCAGAACCTACATCTTCTGACTCTAGGAGACAATGTAAGCAAGCAGGAGTAAGGGTGGGGGGTCACTCTTGCCCATGAATCAATCCACCTGGCAGTTCGAAACCATCAGAGGCTCCTTGGGAGAAAAATGAGGCTTTCTACTGCCATGAGGGGTTACACAGGGGCAGTCCTAGCCCACCCCATAGGGTGGCGGTGAGTCAGAATGGGCTCAGTGGTTAGGAGGTGAATCTCCAGTATTCCTCGCTAATGATTATGCAGGCAGGGGCCCCCCCTTGCTCACAGATCTCATCCCCATCCTCTAATGGACAAGTCTTTTCCCCAGAGATCATGTTATCCTGGGAAGAAGCGCTTCATCCCTTTTTCATTGTCATGCATCCATTCCCTCTGCATCAGGAAGAATTGAAGTCAGAGCAGGACTTCCCAACTTTGACATTCCACCCAAATGAGAAACAAGGGAAATAAAAGGTTAACCAGACTGGAAGAGGAAACCGCCCCCCCCCCAAAAAAAACAAACATATATATATATATAGATATGAACTGAAACCAGGGCCCTGGGGTAAGTTTATGGGGGGAGAGAGAAGAAGGCTGGGCAGCCTAGTAGTAGAACAACCAGCACCTCTCCTGCAGGAGGGCCCAACCTGCTGGGGTTGTTTCACAAGTCATTTCTCAATAGATAGCTCTCCCTGCCTGCCCCCCCCC